CTTTCAAAAGGCTTCTTGGGAGCTGCCTGGGACTCTGGGAAGAAGGTGAATGCCTGGAGCTGGTGGAGGACTCGACTGTGCTCATCCTGGAAGATGGCAATGAGGTTCCCCTCCCTGCCAGACACCTTTAGCAACTGGAACCAGAACAAGGTTGGGTCATGGATAGGTGAAAAGTTAGGGAAAAGTGGCCAAGAGCCACAGCACAGAGCATGGCAGCTCCTGGGGCCAGCAGGGCTCTGAGTCCTGCCTGTGACTTACATCAGGCCCAGATTTGCAGTCCTGTCTGGACCCAGCTCTGAGTGGTTCCCAAACTCATGACCTGAGATTCTCCCAGGCAAATGCTCTCCTGCCACTGCTCCTGGAGCAGCCAGAGCCTTCACCATCTCTACACACAACTGCAGCATGCCCCCGCCATCCCTGCCCTGACAGCATCCCATAGGAGCCCTCCCCAAGGCACTTGGGGCCTGAAACTGCAGCAGCAGCTTCCCCCGCAATGGGACGGGTCCCAGAAAGGCTCAGGGATAGGCCCTGTGCAGAGATTAGCACTGCACTGAGCCCAGAGCGCTGGCTGCGCTCTGGGAACCTACCGACAACAAGGGTCTCAGTTCCTCCAGGGCCAGGCGCACAAAGTCACAGTGCGCCTCGGCATAGCCCCGCACACAGCTGGCAAACAGCTCCTTGGCAAAGCGCAGGAACTTGGGCAGCTCATCCAGCAGCTGGGCATTGAGGGCCTCATAGTTGTTGCGGGCCGACTGCAGCTCCTCCAGCGTTCGTTTGTCCTTCAGCTTCTCCGCTCTCTCCGTGCAGTTGTGGAAGTCGAGAAGCTTGTCAAAGCGCTTCTGCACCAGCTTGTGGGGCCCTGCAAACATGCTCAGCAGCTGGTTCAGGGGTGAGCTCACCAGCCGCTCCGTCCGCTCTTTCTGGTGGGCAGAGATGCAGACAGCAGGTAAGACAAGGTGCTCTCTCCCACCGTGAGGTGAATACCAGCAGCTCACCCTCCAGCACAAAACCTCCCCAGGGCAGCATAGGGTCCGTCTTCCCGATGGCACCTACCAGAGCTCCAGAGGTCCCTTCTAACAGGAATTATTCTATAATCTTACATAAATGTGCCAGCATGGGCAACGCTATGGGAAGTACCTGAACCACTGACATAGAGAGCTGTAACATTTCAGGCGGGGCTGAAAAAAAATGTGTATCTAACAGGCATGCTCAATACACATCATAAACCCACAGGCATCAAAGCTCTCAGGAGGAAAGAGCTGAACAGCAGTGCTCATGTCTCTCCCAGGCTGTGTTACAGTCCCTGCAGCCTCCCAGGGCTGCCCATCTACAGCAGGCTCCTAGGGAGTG